GCAATTACGAACTAAATGGAGCCTTCCGGATTTGCATCCGCAAGGTCATTCTCCATATTGTACATATTTTTTAAAAAGTATATCCTCGAGTGCACAGTACGTGATTGAATTTCGGTGTGCTAGCTGGAATTATTATTACCTACCATACATTTACGGTTTGATAGCAGTAAAAAAAAATGCTAGTTCGGTTATTTTCTTTTTTTGTTTGAAGTGCTAAAAATTACGTCTATAATTAGCTTTTTGTGGCATTTTTAAAACATCTCTGAATACATACTGAAAACAAATAAGCTTAACGTGGAACAGCTTTTTATATCTTGCATGCATAGGGGATCAAAATTTATCATAGCAGGACTTTATATTCCGCCCAGCATGCCAGATATTTACTATTCATCACACTGTGAAGCAGTTGAGAGTGTATTGCATAACCACCCATCTGAGAAGATATACATATTCGGTGACTATAATCTGCCAGAGGCAGTTTGGTCTAATGATGAGTTTGGTTTGCAAGTTGATTGTCCTGGAACCTCGTCTGCCCTCCACTTAGCACAATTGTTTGGTTACCTACATCTGTATCAAATGCTATCTATACCTAACAATAGTAATGTATTTTTGGACCTTATGTTTACCAGTGACAATAACGTGGAAATAAGTTTGGCTACAGACCCTTTATTAGAGGAAAGTATACACCATGTAAGATATGAATGTACCATAACTAATTTACATAAAAAAAAAACAAGAATGATAGTCTAGTTTTCCAAGACTTTTATTATGATTTCAAGAATGCCAATTATTGGGGGTTGAACAATTTCTTGGCAGGTATAGACTGGGATCAAAGTCTGACACACTTGCATAACATTAATGATTCATTACAATACTTCTATGAGATTTTGGGTGTGGGAATTGACCCGTTTGTACCGGTCAAGCGATACCAGACTAGTACTTTTCCCAAGTGGTTTTCACCTGAACTAAGGCGTATAACTATTCAAAAAAGGAAGATACATAAAGTTTATATAGAGTCTAAATCTTACTATGATTACCAGAGATTTTCAAGATTACGTTCAGAATGTAAAAAAATTCGTGAGCTGTGCTGGTCACAATATTTGTTAAATGTAGATAATGAATTTAAATCTGATCCAAGGTATTTCTGGAAGTACATTCGGGACCTAAAAAATAGTCATTCACTTCCTCACTCTATGTATTATGGAGATGAGCAAGCAGATAATAGGCAAGACATTGTTGGCTTGTTCAAGAACTACTTTCAATCAGTATACACTGCAGGCTCTCAGCAGTTAGATGATTTTGTTGATGTACCTGAAAACCTTTCTGAGAATCTTCAGTTCAAGCATATATCTAGAGAAGAAATTTTCAATAGAATTGTCAATCTTCCTTGTAAAAACACTTTGGGTCCCGATGGAATTCCTAACAACTTATTGAAAAACTGTATTTATTCTATAGTGACTCCTTTACACATTTTGTTTGGCAAGTCTTTGCAGTCGTCAATTTTTCCAGACATATGGAAGGAAAGCTTCATTGTGCCAATCTTTAAGAGTGGTGGAAAGAGTGACATTACCAACTACAGAAGCGTGTGCATCCAATCGTCTATACCCAAGTTATTTGATAGCTTAATGAGTGATCAATTAAAATGGATGTGCAGCAATTTAATTCATAAGAATCAACATGGCTTTTGTCCTGGCCGTTCAACTGTTACTAATTTGCTCACATACCAAGATAAAATTACTAAAGCTTTAGAGGAATTTAAACAAGTTGATGCAATATATACGGACTTTTCCAAAGCGTTCGATCGCGTTGATCACCAAATCTTTCTGAAAAGGTTGTATGACATAGGATTCAATACAGCTTCTGTTCGTTGGACTAAAAGTTTTCTGTCTGATCATAAGCAAAGAGTTAAAATAGGTTCTTTTCAATCGGATTATGTAAGTGTTACCTCAGGTGTTCCACAAGGTGGGCACTGTTATCCTCTTTTCTTTGATTTATTTGTCAACACCATTTTTGATTGTTTTCAGAACAGTGACGGCCTTGCTTTCGCAGATGATTTTAAGGCTTTTAGAATTGTTAATAACTTATATGATCAACAATTGCTACAGGATGATCTTGATAGATTGAGTTCTTGGTGTCTCAAATATAGATTAGATTTGAATATTTCCAAGTGTTGTCATATCAGTTTTTATAAGGGTAAGAAAAAGTTGGATACCGAATATTCTTTAAATGGCCAAGCATTTTTTTTTTATTTTTTTTTACGGATATGCGCACTCGCAAGGAAATGTCCTATCACGCTCGAGAAGCGGCAAGTGCGCGGAAATGTCGGTGTATGTTGCTCTTGAAACGGTTCAGGTTGTAACCTGCAGGGAAAACCGTCGCAGGGAGTTTATTCCACAGCGATGCTGTTCTCCAGAGATATGAATTCTGATATAATGAGGTTCTTGGTGCCTCTAGTTTGACAGTAAATTCATGGTTACCGTCTGTTTGACGGGATCGCCTGGTAGGCGCTACTCTCGGTGGAATCATACGTGCCAACTCTTCAGAGCATTTTCCGTGATAGTACCTGTAGAAGAGAGATAAATCGCCCACAGATCTGCGATGTTCGAGACCATCCAAGTTACGAGTAAGTGCGGGGTCATTGATCAGCTTGATAGCTCGTTTTTGCACGGTATTCAAAAGCATTAAGGTATGTTTGGGTGCTGCACTCCATATATGTGAGCAGTACTCCATAGTTGGTCGAATCTGGGCTTTGTAGAGTGTCAGCAATTGGCTTGGTGTGTACAGATGTCTTGTACGAAATAGCACCCCCAGCTTTTGGGACGCCCTTTTAGCAATATCCGCCACGTGATTGTGCCAAGACAATATGTTGGTCTCTGCAGTAACCCCCAAGATGTTCAACTGACTCCGTAATGTGACAGCACTTCCAGATAGCATGATGTTTGGCTCACCGGTGCTGTTCTTCTTTGAAAACAGAGCTGCTTGGGTTTTCTGTGCGTTGAACTGTACAAGGTTTTTGTTACCCCAGTCCTCTTATATCTCCAGGTCGTTATTTATCTGCGATATTTGAGTTAGTCTAAGATGATGGAATTCACGTGCGGAAAGACCTGTGGGTGTTATGAGTGAGGAGACTACATTGCCATCGTTTGCAAAGCAATAAAGTGGATTTACTGTTTTATCTATGAGGTCATTTATGTAAATCAGAAAAAGAGTTGGCGAAAGGATTGCTCCCTGTGGCACACCAGCATTTATTTGGTAAGAGTTGGAGTTCTGGCCATCCAGTGCAACATAAATGGATCTGTCCTTTAGGTAACTTTCAAACCAAGTGCAAAGTTTCGGCGATAATCCCATTGCTTTGAGCTTGTTCAGCAGATTTTCATGCCAAACTTTGTCGAATGCTTTAGATATATCTAAGGCAATTGTTCTTGTTTCACCCCGCAACTCAATCGCTTTTTGCCATAAGTGAGTGACGTATGTAAGTAAATCGCCAGTTGACCTATATTTTCGAAATCCGTATTGCTTATCGTTGATAATTTTGTACTTTTCCAAGTACTTGGTTAGGTGATTGTTCACAACTCTTTCCATTACTTTTGATATCACCGGAAGTAGAGCAATTGGTCTATAGTTTAACGGATCTGTCTTTTTTCCTTTCTTTGGAATGGGTTGTACTGCGGCAGACTTCCATGATGATGGATATACTCCTTGCCTGTAAGACAAATTGAATAATTTTGCGAAAGTTGGGGTGAGTTCGTTGGCGCAATTTTTGAGTACTATTGCGGGAATGCCATCCGGACCCATTGCTTTTTTTGTATCTAGCTTTTTAAGGGATTTTCGTATTTCTCTGTGACAAAAGGGTACCTCTGGCATACTATGGGAAACCCTTTCAATGAACGGTGGAGTTTTTCCGTTTGGCACTGTTAGGTTGGAGTTGGAGGAAAACATTTGGGCCAGCATATTGGCTTTTTCCTCTGATGTTGTGGCTAAGTGATTATTTTTATCTGTAAGTGGTGGTATGGATGACTTGGTGAAGTTAGATCCAACAGCTTTTGCAAGAGACCAAAAGGACCTAGAACTACTTGGACAATTCAGCAACCTGATTTTTATTCTTTGATTGTATGTTTCTTTAGCGGAGTCAATAGTAATTTTGCAACTATTTCTGGCATTAAAATATGTTAAAAAAATTAGGGACCTAGGGGTTATTTTCGATGAAAATTTATCTTTTGTGGAACATATAAACAATGTAACGGTTCAGTCATACAAAATGTTAGGTTTACGTCACTGTAAACAATTTTCCGTTAGCACTACTAGGGGCATTTACTGCTCATTAGTGAGATCTAAGTTGGAGTATGCTTCGGTGGTATGGTCGCCATACCAAGCCGTGCATATTCAAACTGTGGAAAGGGTCCAGCATAGGTTCTTGCGTTTCTGTGCTTTCAGGCTGGGGTTAGTTGTTGAAAATCATGAGTACACAGTTCTTGAAAATCAACTCAATTTGAGCACACTAATGCGAAGACGAACTTGTGCTGGATTAACTTTCTTGTATAGCATTATTAATAATAGGATTGATTGCATGGATTTGCTGAATCAGATTGGAGTGGAAATTGTCAATAGAAATAGAAGACAGAATTTCACAACTTTTTATATACCATTTCATCGTACAAACTATGGTTTCAATTTGCCATTGGATAGATACTCTAGATTGGTTAATGAACATCATTTAGAGATTTTTGGTTTATCTTTAAATCAGTTTAAAGGACAATTTAATAGGATAACTGTGTAGTGAACAAAATTGTGATATTTTAGGTCTAATTCTAGGAAGTTTTGTAAGCTGAATGAAGTTATATTGCTTAGAAATCTACAATCATAACTATAAAATTCTTTGTTAATTGTAACTATTAATGGGGTTTTCCCGTCATTGAATAAATATAAATATAAAATACATAGGTACTTATTTTTTAATCGCAAGAAAGGATCAGTTATTTGAAGCACTTGACATTGTTTGATAAAAATAGCTATATATTGACGGTACCAATTATTTTCTTCTTAGTTCCTGTTATCTTACTGAAAAGATAACAATGAAAGTCTTATCACTGATTTCGGTGACGTGTTTGATAGTGGAGTAAGTTTACTTTTGCAAATCTACATTTTGTTGTTTATTTTTTTTTATTCGTAGGGCCTTTGGAGCTTCCCTACCGAAGGCTGAAATCAACAACCGAAAATTTCCAGAATCATTTAAATGGGGAGCTGCCACTGCTGCATACCAAATTGAGGGTGGATGGAACGAAGATGGCAAAGGAGAGAGTATGTGGGATCACTTTACTCATACAAATCCTAGTAAGTTGTTGAAATCCCGTTGAATTCCTTGCCAATTTTAGAATCACTCTTTCAGGTGTGACAGATGATAAACTTAACGGTGATGTAGCTTGTGATTCTTATCACAGGTGGAGGGAAGACATTCAGTTGCTTAAGCAACTAGGAGTTTCAGTATACAGGCAAGTCAAAAATTAAGTCTCACTAGATTTAGATTGCTTATAATAAATTATCTTGTAGGTTTTCTGTTGCTTGGACTAGAATCCTTCCTACTGGCTACTTGGACAGCTACAATCAGGCTGGTGTTGACTTCTATGTCACCTTCGTAAAGGTATGAAGCAAATAATTTTAAGTCAAATATTTGTTTTTAACCCTGTCTAGATAAATAATAATTATTATTAAATTATCAGGAATTGCTGGCTAACGGTATCACCCCCACGGCAACCCTGTACCATTGGGATTTGCCTCAAGTACTCAATGAACAAGGTGGGTGGTTGAACGACAGTACTGCCGACCGGTTTGGCGAATACGCCAGAATTGTATTCAAGAATTTAGGACCATATGTCAAATTATGGTCCACCGTCAATGAACCCAAAAGTACTTGTATGCTTGGATACGGAGATGGAGTAAGTGCAGAATTTTTCATAACTGATCGTTTCACCGTTCAATTCAAAAACTCGTTTAATGGTCAATTCAAAACTGCGTCACGGGTCGCCTATATATCGTTTCAAGCCTTCTCTAATTTACTCAAGATCTCGCTACTAGAAATCTCGGTAACGACGATCGATAATTTGCCGATAATAACTCATGAAATATTTTAGTCACCGGGCATACAGGGGTTCACTAATCACTAAATAACTTCGAATTTCCCAGTTGTGTTTGGCTGACGACTTCATAGAAGCTTAACGTCGTTTCTTTTCTTATCATTACAAAACCTTTATTTTTTGGCAACTATTGCAAAGTCCTATAAGCCTTAATATGATTTTTTTGTTATAAGGCCAATGCCCCAGGTATAAAACAGATCGGTACCGCTGTCTACCAATGCGCTAGAGTTCAACTTCTAGCCCATGCCACAGCTTACCATATCTACCACAATGAATTTGCTGCCGAACAAGAAGGTAAAATCAGTCTGGTTATAGATTCTACGTATAATGAGCCAGCTACTGACAGTGAAGCCGACGTTGAAGCCACTGATTGGGAGACACAATTCAACGTAAATGTTTGGATTAATTCTAAAAATTAGGTCGCTAACGTTTTTTTACCTCTAGCTTGGTTGGTACGCTCACCCAGTCTACGTCGGCAACTGGCCCCAAATTATGATTGACAGAATTGGTAACAGAAGTGCTCTGGAAGGTTTGCCAAAGTCCAGATTGCCTGCCTGGTCTGCGGAAGAACTTGAATTTGTTAAGGGAACTCATGATTACTTTGGACTCAATATGTAAGAAATCAGTATCGATTCCCGCAAAGAGTTTATTAAAAATTCCCCAATTCAGGTACACAGCTCTACGCGTATCAGCTATCGATGAGCCAGAAATTGGCGACTCTAGCTACTATAGCGATAAAGGTACAGCCACTTCATTTGGAGCAGATTGGACTCCTTCAATTGCTTCATGGTTAGTGGTTTATCCATTTGGTAAGTATCTATTTGAACTAAAATAAAATCGAATCTTGGGTAAATTGGGACGAATTTTATCTGAAAAACGAGTCACAATTTCTATTTCATGCAAATGATAATTTTAGCGATGAGGGGACTTTTGAACTATGTATGGAACAATTACAACCCTGGAGAAATTTGGGTCACTGAAAATGGTGTGGCTACTAATGCTACAATCAATGACCAATTCAGAGTTGACTATTTACAGGTAAGCAACTGAATCTCATTTGATTTTTATCCATGAAAACCATAATCTTTTCAGGGATATTTAAGTAACATGTTGGACGCTATATTAGATGACGGAGTCAATGTAGCAGGTTACACCACTTGGAGTCTTTTGGACAACTTTGAATGGGCTCGTGGTTACACGTAAGTTATTTTACCCATCTATTTTCAACTGCTCAAACCTGCTTTCTTTTTTCAGACAAAAATTCGGTATCATCAGCGTTGATTTTACCAGTGAAAATCTTACCAGGACTTTTAAGGATTCTGCCAAATGGTACCAACGCACCGTTAACACATACTGTCTTGTAGAGGAATGTGTAGAGTAATATTTTTAGTCCGTAATTAAAAAAATTATAAACTGAGGAAAATCTTTCATTTATTTTGTCAATCTTGTGAATTTGACTTCCATTGTATTCTGGTTGGATATTTATATTCTTTTGGATTTTTCTTGAAAGTACCGATACTCCAGCAAAATAAGTTGTCTATAAGATATTTCTAAACATATAATGATTGCATTATCATTATATGCTTATAACTTCAAGTCTGAAATATATTGTCACAGTATCCGGGTTCACCAAAACTCACTTCACAAACAGTAATAACTTTTATTAAACTAATTGACTTTATAAAAAATTCCCTTTTCACTTATCGGAATATAAACGGCAAACATCGAATTGAAAACTGACTTAAAGTTAATACTACTCCGCGCATCTATAGCAGACCAGCCAGTGTGCTTTGGATTTATCTAGAAAAACCTGGCGCCCCACCTAAATAGAATTCTGCGAATCGTTTACATGAGGCGCAGACATGCCTTTCTTAGAATCCGGCCGGGCTCCCGAGTAACATGGCCTTCCTCTCAAATATCGTACCAATCTAAATACCAAGACGCACCACCTTCTCTTCCTCGTCTATATTTCCACTCAGATCCATTAGGATATAATCTATCCTTATCACAAGAATCTCTATGCCTGTCTAAGGGCCATATTCTCCGTATTTCATGAAGCCTGGCTTAGTGGAAACGCTTGGCTTTTCCACTAAGCCAGGCTTTATGAACTACGCAGAATATGCCGCTAAGTGGACTGTGACCTGAACGCATCGCCTTAGACCGCTTGGCCTTCCTGACTTCCCAGATCTACTCTCAATATGTCACCAAAATCCTAGCTGGATGACATATGCTACATCAAATTTATTCAAAGAAAAAAACAAAGCATATAAAAAAAAATCTTGTGTGGCGCCGTATACGTGGTAGAAGTGAAACTTTTTGAAATCTACAAACCTCATACAACTTTTATACTTAGCATATGAGTCGGGGTAAAGACGAGGGAAAAGCGCATTCTGTAGTGCCGTCACAAAGGTATCGGCGCCTGACAATAATAGCTTATAATCCTTGGTCGGCTGTCACTGTCATTGGCTGTCTTTATCCGTCCCTCTACGTTATATTTTTGTTCTCTCTCGTGTAACGAAATTTACCAAAAAAGTTTTTTTAAATACCGGAAATTAGCACAAAACACAATGATAATAGTATAACAAAAGGCAAGCGTGCATCTGTAGTGATGTCACGCTCGACAATAATAGACCGATCTCCTATTACCTGGACTGGCGCGTCGCTTGTAGGCTGCAGGTGAGCGTCCAATGAGAAGCAAGTTCATGGCAGACTTGCGTCATATTCTTTTCAAGGGCCAGTTCAGAATGAATCGTTCTTTCTTTCTTTGTAACGTGTAATTTGACAAGAGCAAACTAATACTTTACATATTACTTGAACTCACCGCAGTTGCGTTTAAGGTTATGTTAGATTATAGTTGACATATTCCTTTGCAATTTCATTGAGCGATGTTGCCGGATGAAACATTTATTAAAATAAAAGTGCAAACGATGTTTATCCACTTTAAAGCTCTTCTTTTGTCTGATTTAAGGCGTTGTGAAACACTTGAGACTATATTACTTCTTTAATGTTATAATATTCGATTTGTATTGTCTACATTTGTTCTGCAACAATATAATCTGGCTACACTGCAGCCTACGAGTTGCGCGCGCATGTCATCTTTTATTGTTTTCTAACTTGTATTAATTACAATGAAGCTTCCTTTTTCTAGTCATGGGAGATAGGTCTATTGACACGATTCCAAAAATTTTTTTTTATTTCAAACGCAACAGTCCTAAAGTCTGCACATCTGAAAAACTTATCTATCGATCTATTATATCCTTGTATATTATTTATATTTCTAGCGGGTAATATGGTTTCAAGTTGAAGGAAGATTTCAATAAAGATAAAGAGTTCTGTTAACATAGAAGTGGAGAACTTTAATTCTAATAGTTACAACCAATGACATATTAACACAGATAGACACGAGGATAGACATTACAGTGAAAATGTTGTGTCGGCAACATCTAGGAAAGGAATCAACCACCGCTGTATCCCCTGCAATTTGGTTGCCAAATTGTTACGGATTGATATTTCATCCTGTTATGACTTTGTTTCAAAAAGTTGGAGGTTCAAGACTAAAAACAACTACTGGCAACGCCGGTGCTGTGAGACAGGCGGAACATACCTGCAATGGCATGTCAACGCACCCATCAAACTTATATGAGTTAGGGCGGGTATTATAAAACTGCTTTGACAGTTAACTTGAAGTTAACTTTTTGAATTACATGTAATTCCAGAAGTTAACTTTAAGTTAACTCTCAAAGTAGTTTTATAATACCCACCCTTAGAGGCAGACAGTTAGATAAACAAGTTGCACCTGTGTGCATGTCAGAATTGTGGATAGGTGAATGACGGGATTCAAAGGGGGATACGAGTCTTGTTTATACCAATGTCAGAGCTGGGCAAAGCCCTCAGTGAAAGGGCTTGAAGCACTAAGCCTTAAGCCCTTTCTCAAAGTGCTTTCAATTTCAAGCACAAATTCCTTTTTATTTTGAAAAAGTGCTTCACAAGCACAAAGCCCTCAAAGTGCTCTGTGCTTGGCAAGCACAAAGCCCCCAAAGTAATTTATAAAGTGCTTGAAGCACATCAAAAGTGCTTGGGGTGCTCTTTAAATGTGCTTGAAGCTCTTCAAATGTGCTTGAAGCTCTTTAAATGTGCTTGAAGCTTTTTAAATGTGCTTGGTGCTCTTTAAATGTGCTTGAAGCTCTTCAAATGTGCTTGAAGCTCTTTAAATTTGCTTAAAGCTCTTTAAATGTGCATGCAGCTTTTTAAATGTGCTTTTACAAGCACAAAGCACTCTAGCCCTGCCCAGCTCTGCCAATGATGCATTCCTACCATGACCTGGAGCAGCTCACCTCTCCTAGGTCATGATCTTGTCATCACAACATTACAACAAATGAGCGACGAGGTAAAACCGAAATAAAGTTCAAAAAAAAAAGAATCGAGCAAGGAACTTGCAGCAGTTATTCAAGAAATTCAAGCTGGATCAAGAAATGATGGAACAATTGATAGCCGCTATACTATGCAAGAGGCAAATCCGAAAATTTTGGAACAAAATCAGTTACTGATGAATGAACTCAAGACAAATAGTACTTCAGGTAATACTTCTTGTATACCTCCATTCGAATTAATCATTCCTGAAAAGAGACATTTCGATTATACATAGAACGTATTGAGAATTACGTATCTGAAAATAATTAAAGAATGTTTTTCATGGTAGAAAATTCACTACTGATTTATTTTTAAACTCAATTGGATCCTTATAGTTTATTCAACCTTATCAGCAGTCATAGCATCTAATAAAGTGACCGAATTCGACTTTAAGACATTGATAAAAAATCTTGTACATTATTTTTGTCCCGAGAAGAACGTATTAGTATCACAACATAAATAATTTTTTATCAATTTTTCAAGAGGCAAATCAGTCAATTTCTGATTATATTTCCATTTTAGGATAATCTACCAAGATTGCGAATTTACAACTGCTTGCCAATGCAAAAATGACAAATAGTTTCGATTTTTTTTTCATGAACACAATTTATCAGAGGCATTAACGACACATCAATACGTGAACAACAACAATCTTCTGAAACTTCTTTCGAAAAAGTGGTTCAAAAGGCTTCAACTATAGATAGAATCTTCTAAACTAAACAGCACACAATTGTGTTCCAATTCTCCATTATCAGAAATCAACAAAATTCAACGATCAATAACGAAATCATGCCCTCTCGAGAATAAAAGTTTTCAGTTTAAATCAAACCAAATAGACTATCGAGAAATAGGAATAGAGAATAAATGTTTGCGTTGCGGAAATTTAGATCACGTTGAAAATTGCAATATCAACCGTCAAAAATTACGAGGCACAGCCGCCACAGCCTGCCAAAAACGTGGTCACATAGAAGCCGTATGCATATCAACTTTATTGACACACAAACAAGATAAGATAGACATTCTACTTATCAGCCTAACACAGAAAATGAATTCAGAAGTGATGACTTATTTGGAGTTAACAAAATCATAATTGAATTTCAAGCGATTGACCAGTTGGTCATCTTGACAGATAAAGACTAATTGGTTGATAAATGACGCTTAATTAATGGTTTATCTGTCAAGATGACCGATCGGTCAATCGCTTGGAATTGGATATAGACATTTTCACAAATCGTTCAAACAGTGACGCTCAAAAATTTTATGCTACAGTGTTTATCGAAAACAAACCACAAACATTTGAAGTAGCCTCTGGTACGGGAGTTACTCTCATTCCACAATCACAATTCAAAGAATTAATTTTAAATATTGAATTAGAACAATCAGGGCTGGGACTCTGTAACGAATAGAGACATTTTCTCTATCTCTATTGACATCCCCTCTCTATTGATTTGGAGAAGAGAGAAGAAGACAGCAAGTGCCATAGCGATAGGAATAACGATCTCTATCCGTTACAGAGTTCCAGCCCTGGTATTGCATTTCGATCTTATACAAAAAATGTTTTTTATTCTATTGGAAAAGCAAAAGTTTCTGTTCGATACTTGGATAAAACATCAACTGAAGAGTTTTACGTCGTGTCAGATAATTTCGAGCCACTATTGGGACGTGAATGGATAAGACATTTAGACATCAGCCTTCAAAAATAAAGTAAACACCTTACCATCAACAGAAGAAGAATTTGTTCAAAAATACTCAAACATATTCGAGGAACGAATTGGATAAGTACCAAATTTGAAAGTATCTTTACATTTACGCGAAAACGTCAAGCCTGTTTATTTGAAAGAAAGAAAAGTACCTACCTTATACTCTTAGAAAAAAAGTTGAACAACAATTGGACAGTCTAGAAGCTGCTGGGATCATTTCAAAAGTTACCCATAGTGACTGGGGTTCCAGGAGAACCGACCGAGCGCTCAAAGGTGCAACATCTACTAAACCGTTCCAAAAGAACCGA